AGAGATTCGTTGAACATAGTTCAACGAATTCTCTAGGGACTCCCGTTGGTCGTACCTCGAAGAGGAATCTTCGTGAGATCTAAATTATATGTATATCCAAAACTAATATGTGTGCATTTATGGCAAGTAATAATGTCTTTTGCATTAGAATGGGTATAAATTTATTTTAGGTGCAAAATCGTAAATAAGTCATGCATTAATTAGGGAAAGGTAGGAACGTTGTGGCAAATAAGGATAGAAAATTTGTTATTATTATTATATTAATTTATTTTAATTATTCTACTTTACTATCTAATTTGTACATAACTTTTTGCATACAAATTCGTTATTAACTAATTATATATAGTTAAAAACCTCTCTTTGAGATCTACCCAACGATACCAAAATTGAATATGATTATTTGAAAATTTTGTTCTTCACTAATTTTAATATAAAAATAGTCAATTTTTTTTCTTTTACTTAACCCAATAAATATATACTTCATAATTTTTGTGGTAGTTTTTTAAGATGCTACAAACTTTCTTAATGCTAATCTCTTCATCCCAAATTAAGTCTATGATTTTGACTTGACACTATTTTTAAGTAGAGTATTTTATGATTGAAAATGCATCTAAGATCTAATATGAATGCATTTTGATAGCTAATATATGCACTCTGAGTTATCCTTTAATTTTTATTCAAATTTTATTTTATTAATTTGTAGATTACTGAAAAATGACGCATGCTTGACTTTGTATGTAATGAGAAAGTCTGAAAATGCATTATTTTTTAAACAAGTTTAATACAAACTTGAGAAGGGGTTCGCCTAAATTTGAACCCACATCGTCATTATTTATAGTTGTTCCACTTTGATTTTCAGAATGCACAATATTCCTTTATCTTAAATCTAAGAATGCATTGCGTTATCGTGTAAATGCATTGTTTGAATAAAATAATGCTCAGTAGTAAATAATAACAATAGAAATCACCCTAAATAAGACTAAAACATAGATAAAAGCACCAAAATAGGACTTTCATGTTTTTTTCCAAAATAAGACTTTGCACTATGATAATGTGACACTCTACATGTGCACATTACTATACTTTTTTGGTAATATACATGACCATGTTTGGTAATGTAAGTCCTATTTCGGGAATAAAAACATGAAAGTCTTATTTTGGTATATTTTCAATGTTTTAGACTTTTAGTCCTACCTTGGTCTTTCTCCCTGATAACAAAGATCCATGCAGACTTGGTTTATTAAAAATTGACAACAATGCAAAACATATTACAATGCACTTGGAGTTCTCTATATTGCATGACTAGAGTGTATACTATACATTTATAAGTGCCTTGCTCTATGAATTGATATTAGAATTTTTCTATTCTTCTTAGAAAGTAGAATTTGGGCTAAAATACAGAAAAATTCAAAAAATGCAAAGTAGAAACAAAACTTTATGATTCTTAAAAATACAATTTAAAAAGTAGATTTCAAAAAAATTAGATTTTGATGTAAAAGGGTTATTAAGAATATTAAAATGATCAAATTTGCAAAAAATATAGCATTTCAAAAAAAAGAAACGTACGTGAACGAGTATTTAAAAAAAGGAAACATGGATGATGAGTTGCAATAGGAATGGAAAAGGAATGCTAAAATCATGGGAGATGATTGATTTAGCATTAATTGAGATATAGTTGAATACCATTTTCACCCTTCATTATTTGTTTAAAATTTAAAATCTCTTGATCTGATGTTAATGGCTCATTCCCATTTCTTTCATAAGATATTATTTTCACCAGAACCTATATATATATATGGGGGCCGGTTCCCGTGAGAATTCACTTTGTGGAGAGAAATGAGAATAAAATCTAGCCATTGGATCTTATGCATCGTGCGGCTCAGATTGCATCTTCCACTTAGATTTTGAGATAGTGCATTTTCAAAGGATTTTGATGCATTTTGACATGATGCATTTTCAAACTATTTTGGTGCACCAGATCTCACAATCTTAACCCTGAGATCTTACAATCTAAAGCACCAGATTCATTCTCATTTATCTCCTAAGATCGCATTATATATATATATATATATATATATATAAAGGATATTTGTAAACTTATTACATTTGCCTTTACATGATAGAAAATCTCTAAGATATTACAATAGCAGTTGGCCATAAGGGCACCAACTCCAACAAAGCTCATGTGACCGAAGCATGTCATCTCACCGTAAGGTGTCATCTCACTGGAGTCAATCCCATATATATATATATATATATATATATATATATATATATATATATATATAGAAAAGGTGTGGCAGATTTCCACAAGAAGGGGGCGCAGGGGGAAGACGATGCCCCCTATAAAGATTTAATGTGGAAACCTACCCGGGTACGAGAGTGGGGGACTACGATGTTGGGCAACCAGGATCGTAACGAAGAACATACCCATTGGGGAGGTTGCGCCACTTGCGACGTGCCTTGCGCCCCATGACGTAATCAGCGGGGAGGCGAAAATAACCAGCCTCCCATAACTGGTTCTCCCATTCCTCCCAGGTTTCGTCTTTCGAGTCGAAAGGACCCGTTGCTTAGTTAAAGGGTTCTGGATAGGGCCGGGTTGGGAAAACCTAAAACTACAAACCAAACTAAAACTTATCGAAACGAACTAGAAAAAAATTGAACCGAAAAAACCGAAACCGAATGTAAAAAATTGAACTGAACCGTTATTGTTTGGTTTTTGTTTTGGTTTTGCTTTATTTATATGAGTATATGTGATTTGAAAAAAATCATAAAAATATATATGTAAATAATTGATTAGTCCATGAAATTTATTTTTCTTAACTATTAAACATTTTAAACCATATTATAAACTTTAAAAAACCTAGTAATATAAACATCAATAACTAATCCTAATAAGAATTATATTAACATTAACAATCGAACGAGTAATTTATATATTTACATGAAAAAGCTTTGATGCTATAATGGAAATTAAAGTATTATACCAAAAGCGCAAAATCTCTGTAATTAATATTTACATACGAAAGCTTTGGGAGTATTTGGAAGCTCTTAGATGTTTGTTGGCACTCAATACATATTTTTTTATGTAAATTTGAAGCGAATTCTGATCTAACCTTCTATTCGGTTTTTGGTTTTATGTAAAAATCAAATAAAAAACTGAATCCAACCCTACACATTGTTATTGCTTCATCGAATTAGTATTTTTACAACTTTTTAATCCTTATAAATTTTATTTTCAAAAACTGAAAAAATTGAAAAAATCAAAATAAAAATCGAATAAAACCAAACCGAATAACCAACGGTTATATATTTTTAATGCAAAATCGAACCGAACTGCCAGTTTACCTTCTGTTTTGTCTTTGATTTTAGATGAAAACCGAATTGCTAAAACCAAACCCACCCCTAGTTCCGGATTGGGAATGGCCACACCTCCCTATACAGTGTGTGACTCAGAAGGGTAAGGGGAAATGTTAGTGGAAGATGGGGAGACCGACTCATTCGATCCATATGAATGGATCAACGGATTCTGGCTGTTTTTTGAAGACATGGTCGGGAGAGAAATAAAAAAAACAAAAGAAAAGACTCGGAGGACTTACTTACTGTGGCAGAAAAACACTCGAAGGACTCAAGGCGAGAAAGATGACCAGGTGATTCTCTAGATGAGAAATGCGAGAAATGAAAGAAATAAGAGGGGAAAGGCCTTTATATAGGGGGTTGGGCGTCGGTTCACGCGCCAGGCCGCTCATCCCATCAAACTGTGAGGTGACATGTGGTGAAGGTAAATGATTACTTGATGAGAAGCATGACAGGCGCCTTAGGAAGACCAAGCGACGAGACAGCGGCATGCGAGCGCCGAATTTCAAATATCTCAGGTTTAATTATTTGCAAAAATGTCTGGATTTGAGAATTGCTTCCCGCCATTGATGATTCCCACAAGGCCGAGAAGTGGAGGACTTATTGATGAGTGTATTCCACCCAGACTCAGACCTGGGTCGGGTCCACCTGGGACCAACCGGGTAGGTCCCAAGCAGTACACTACTAGATTCTTTGGGTGAATTTGAACATTGCCCGGGTCAGGTCAAGTCAAATTACCTGGGTGACTTTTGGGAAACCAGTTAAGTGGCATGCCACTGAAGAGGGGATACTTAAATGATCAGGACGTCTCTTCGCAAGACCACCCGGGTGAATTTCCATGACTTACACTGACATGATAATAGCCCAGCATGTTTGGATGGAAGAAGCGACTTGGAGGGGACTTGGTCGGAGCAGGTTCCCTGCGACAACGGGCTAGGTGTATCATCCCAAGCACTACGTGCCAATAAGGACAATTGCAAAGGGAAAACTCCAAGAAAGATGGGAGAAACACTAAAAGATAAATAGGCATCAAATCATGTGCTTTGTCATGTGGCAAACACGTTGCCAGGCGTGGGTACAGTCCAACCTGTACCCTAGCTTTACTATAAATAGGCCTTGTGCCCCTCAGTGAAGGGGTCAGAATTCCCTCTCTCCAAAGGTGTATTATGTAATACACTTTTAATAAATTCCTGTACTCTTCCCATAATAAATTCTGTACTCTTCCCATAATAAAAGTGTATTGTGTAATAAATCCCTGTACTCTTCCCATCATAACAATTGGGCTACAGCGATTTCCACGTACATTGTTCCCGGTCACTCTCTATTTTTTGTGCACTTTCAGTATCCAAACTCAACAAACCACTCTAGACTCGTCTACCAGAATTGGTCCAAACTCAACAAACCACTCACCCTAAACATATATGTTAAAATTTCAGAGTTGGATATTGGAAGAAATTGGAAACAATTGGAAGATTCTAGAAAAAGTTGGAAAAATTAGAAAGAATTGAAAATTTTTGGAAGAATTAAAGTTATTTTATAAATTTAAATATAAAATGTTATTGTATGGAGTATTACTTATATACAAATAATTTTTTTGAATCATCGGAAAAACTTGAAAAAATTAAAAAGACATACTGAAAAGAGGTAAAGAAGTTAAAAAAGAATGAAGGATTCTACTCCCCTGAATCCCCTCCCTTGGGGTCCGACATAGAATAGCCGTTCCCGGACCAGACCCCTCGCCGACCGTGATTAAATCTTCCACAACTTTTCTACTCCCTCACGCTTCCCATTCTCCGCCGCGCGATTCTCGCCTGAATCTGCCTCAACTGCGGAAGGTAATCGGATTAGGGGTCGTATACCGGAGATCGATCGGCCCTCACAAGTAATTTATTTATCCGACAATACATCGATTGACTGTCAATGGGGAAGAAGCGAAAGTCCCTTGCGACGAGCTTAGACGAGGTAGACCGGACTATGTACTCGTCTTTCAGCAGCGCCGCGAACTCACTTTCGCAGCTGTATACTCAGGCGATGAACCAACAAAAGCTATCATTCCAAGCTGGCGAACGGCACGGACTGGTGAATCCTCGTTTTATGAGTATATTTATGATTCTATTTATTAGTGATTGCTAGTTCTTTTTTTTCCTGGTTTCGTATGCATTTGTTATCATTTTTATAAATAAACTTCTGGCATTGATACAACAACAATTCCAATATAATCTTAACTGTGTTGAGCTTTGTGTCAAGATGTACACAATCTTATCCCGTAGAAATAGAGAGACTATTTTTGTTTGACCCTTGCATCGTTGTATTTACTACCCAAATCTTTGTTGAAAGTAAAAAACAAGTAAACTTAATGTGTCAATTTGATTTAGTTCATTATTTATCTGAATTTAAAGCTTTTTCAAAATTTACTCATTTTCTTCTACAATCCAATCATCATCATAATCACGGTCATCAATGTTATAATCTTTTCCACATCTCTTCTCTTTTTTGTTCGCTAATTTTGAATTCGTCATCACAAAAACAACATCATTTATGGTCTTTTGCTTCAAGCCATTTATTCTTTTGGTATGGACCATCTCAAAAGCAATCAAGATACGCTCGCAATGAGATGAACTACATGTCAAACTCAACGCTCGAATGACAAACTTTTGTAGTTCTAGTTGCTTATCACCATATGATTTGCACCCTACCATCAAGTCGGAGTTTTTGTTTTAATTGCTATTGCACTATCAAAAAAGTTGTGTCCTTGAAATTCTCAAGTTGAGCATCAATCTTGGCTTGGCTTGGCTTTTTTGCTAATATCTCCCACCAATTTTTGTAAACAATCATTTAGTCTCTTTTTAACTTACAAATAACTTTAAAGTTGTAACTATAATGCATAATGGGGTTAACATAATATCATGTATCATGCAAAGGCATATGTATTTCATTATCTTAGCTTTCATCAATGATGTCCCACAAAGGAAGGTAGCTATGAAATAAAAAACTCCCTCTGTCCCAAATTAATCTTCACATTTTCTTTTTTGGATTGTCCCAAAATAAACTTCCCATTCCTTAAAAGGAAAGGAATACGTGCTCCATATTGATTCTCTCTCCTCTTCACAAATCTCAATCAAACAATTTCACTTTTCTTAAACTATAAGAAAAAGAAAACAGGAAGATTAATTTGGGATGTAGGGAGTATTTTATATCAATAAGAAATAGTATATTAAATTATTAAGGGCTTGTTCTTTTCAGTTGAAAAGTTAATTTTCAATTTTTTCCAACTTCAAGTTTCTTCCAACAAGGACTTAAAAAAGTATTTATATATGATGAATATATATATCCATATTTATTACATACCATCTCAAACACAGACATGGATGAATTCTTTTTTTTATCCAAAATTAGAGTTTTCTTACATATTTATTTGCGCGATTATTTAATTGAGTGATTTTTTAACACTTTTTTTCCAAAATTTTCCAACTCCTATTTTTTCCATCTTCTAGTTTTTCCAACATCCAACTTTAGAATTCCAACCGAAAAGGACATGCCCTAGCCCCTAATTAATTGTACAAAAAAATATTAAGAAATTCAACAAATAGTGATGAAGATGATGAAAATACTAATACTAATAATAATATTGGTACACAACAGTTCTTTTGACTTTGGTTTGCAAGGTTATATTATGACCCGCGGCCTCTACAGTGCTTTGTTGGTAAAATTGATGGTTCCCACCCCACCGAAATCCCCCTGTCCCCCCGCACAACACCCCAGCACCCCGTGCCCCCCTCCCCACCCTAGATTTCCGATTTGGCAGTGCCAAATCAGTGATGTAGGGTGGGGGCAAGGGGTGCTAGGGTGTTGTGCGGGGGGACAGGGGGGATTTTGGTGGGGTAGGAACCATCAATTTTACCAATAGAGCACCGTAGGTGTCCCAAAATCCCAAGGTCAAAATTGGCTCGGGTCAAAAGATCCTTGCCGATATTAATATTACATTTTTCTAACACCTTTGAAAGCCTTTTAAATATTCTTTTCATCACAGTCTATTTTTCATAAATGAACCCCATTGACGGATTTTCATTTGAATTGACCAAGCACAACACTTTCATTAATGCATAAGCACCTCTAAGACAATATTTTTCTTTATCCATAATTGCGAATTGAATAGGTTTCAACTGATCAGATGTGACTACTCTTATTATGGAACCCTTATTATAATGCAAACATTTCAATGTCAAATAAGAAAAGGCAAATGGACGCATACATGGTCTAATGAGTTCACCACCCTTAGTAAATGTATGCAACAAAGAGATGAGACTTGTGCGTAATGCAAGTTGTATTTTTCTGGGAAAAGATTAAAGTAGGAGTAAAACATTGAAAATATACCAAAATAGGAGTTCCATGTTTTTATTCCCGAAATAAAAGTTAATTTGCATTTAGATTACCAATCATGACCATGTACATTACCAAAAAGTATAGTAAAATGCACATAGTGCAAACTCCTGTTTAGGGTGTTTTTTTAATTTTCTTCCCATTTGCAGTTGTCTTCTTATGGAGTGGTATGTTTTTCTCATAGTCCTCCAGTATCAAATCAATGCAATGTTCTGTGCACGGAGTCCAATACAAACTCTTCATCTTCTCCATTAATATTTCTCTAGTTGCCTTATAATTTGCTACATTATTTGTCACAAATTGGACAGCATTTTCTTCTCCAATCACCGGTTTTAGATCATCTAACATTTTATATATTTCATCACCAATTTTAGATATGTCATATGCATTAAGTGTTTTCAAAAAATATTCCTTAAGGGATATTTACCAAAAAAAAGAATGAAGTCTTCTCTCTCGTATTGGGCTATCCGCTTGTCATTATGGTTTATTCCACTTTCTTTCTATAGGTTTTGTGCTCCTCAACTATTAAATTGGTCTTTTAAACTCATTTCTTCAACTTTTTTACTCTTATCTTGTGATTAGATGGAGGCTTGAATTCATGACCATGTTGAGGAAACAAATAAAACATTTTCTTGGATTCTTCACTATTAGCAACACCTAACGATATTGCGTTGTTGAAGAGAATGAATAAATTGCCTCTGATGCTTCTTCATGCATGTTTTTCTTTAAGATAGTGTTCATAGTAGCTTCAATGCTCACCCTGTCTCTTGAAGAAAATGCTTAGATTCTCCATCTCCTCTCTTTTCTCTTCTTGGCAACATCTCCATATTCATTGGCCTTAGCTTTTACCTTTTTTTTGGCAACAAAGATAAAATGTCCCACATTTGTTTTCGGGCTTCACCGCTCATTCTTTTCCAAGGACCAACATCCTTGTTTGTTCCGGCCAAGTGATGTTTCAAACGCTAGACATATCCAGTAAAAAGCTTCTTGCAATATTTGCATTTGATGGTTCGGTTATCATTGTTCATTTAAATGCCATGCTCCCACACAATATCCATTTTCATTTTGGCACCCTTCTTATTAATTCTTCCGTTTGGTTCTTACATTTTTTAGTCTAAAGAAAGAGGACTTTTTTGGCAAAGGTGAAAAACAGGGAGCCTGAATTCTAAGAGAGGGATGCCAGGTAAATATCTGCTGAGACTTTGAGAGTATGAGTCGTATGACAAAGAAGTGAAGAAGCATATGAAAATCTGATGAATTGGGAGACAAGAGCAGCAATAAAGATACTACGGAGTATTAAGATATTGTCAAATTATAGAGGGGAGAATTAGGAAAATCTACGGCTTCTAACCGTTTGAAGAAATTGATCACCATTTTTTGGCTTTGGGGTGTGATGAAATAAATCAAAATGGATCTCTAAACTGTCTGCGCTTCTTTAATTAATGAAGTAGCAGTTAGTCAAGCAATGCAACTTTCGACGTTGAGCCGGGGGTCTCTTTGGAAATAGCCTCTCTACTTTCAAGTAGGGGCAAGGTCTGCGTACACACACCCTCCCCAGACCCTACTCTTGTGGGATTTAACTGGGTTGTTGTTGTTGTTGTTGTTGATCACCATAGGAGACATAAAGCTGCATGTCGATTGGAAGATTTGTGATTCAATTTGATTGGAAGGCATGCGACTCTTCCTCTTCTTTTTGTTATTTTTTCATAAATTGAATCGTCAATGGGGCACCGTTTGCGTACACACACCCTTCTGAGACCCTACTTTCATGGCATCATACTGGGTTGTTGCTGTTGTAAATTGAATCCTCAATGGAAAGTCTCACAATCTGTCAGATAGAATCGCTAGTGATCCCACGATCCTAGCTGAGCTGAGGAACTTCCAATTCGAGGACTGTTCCATTGTAGAATTGTGTGGCTTTACAATCTGGATCACGATTTTAACATTGGTTTTACCTCCTTAGCCTTTGTAACTGTGGCCTTTCAGAAACATTCTACCGGGTTTATTGTTGTTGTTGTGGTAGAATGATGTGATAAAGTCCTAAAAATATAAATGTAGTTCTTTCTGTGGTTTGTACCCCTTATGTTTTAGTTTGAACGTGTCTAGTTTTTTGTGCTGTTTCCAAGCTTTACTGTTTTGGGGATGAACATATAAATCTAACAAAGTGAGTTTGAGGGGGCTAACTTGAATGATGGCCTCACCATGTTGATGTTGAATCTAGTGTTACATTTATTTTCTGCTAAGCTGTACACTATGTTTGGTTCAAAGAGTTTGAGTGGGAAAAGAAAACAAAATGATATTGAATACAATTTATCATGTTTGGTTAGAGAGGAAAAAGAGAAGAAAAGTGGAAAGAAAAGAAAACAAGAAGACAAAATATGCTAATAAGAAGGAAAACTGAATTCCTTCCATTTTGGTGAGGAAAAGGAGAGATCATTTTCTTTTTCCTTCCTTCCGAATTTCCTTGAGCCAAACATAGTGTTAGTTTCACCTTTATCTTCGCAGATGGTCAACAAGTTCCTGGTCTTTCTTACATAGCACACATTTAGATCAATGTAAACTTAATCCTCTCTTTAGTCATCAACTTGATCCTAAAAACTGTAACTAGGATATGAAAGCATGCTTTGGTGTGTTAAGGTGAAGCCAGATCACCGTGGGTCAATTTTGATCTTGACCTTTAAACATAAAAGCACACACATGTGATGAGTCGTTTGTAGTACCGATAGGTCATCTGCTAAGCATCGCAGTAGCCTCAACTCTTGAACCATCTATTAGGAGGAAATCATCCTGCGAGTGAAGCATTTTTTGTAGTACACGAGGAGTCCTATTTGCATTGCCTTTCAATTAGTAACCACAAATCTATCTGACCCAAAGTCATTTTTCGTAGAAATATTCTAAAGCATCTTCTTCAACAGAACAACATTCTAGGTCAGTAAGTCCTCCAATGAGCTCATCCCCACTCCACCTGTCTTTGTAGCACAAATATCTTTCCATGCCAATTTAACTGCCTTTGAACCCATAAGAATACTCTGATCAGCCTTTTATTCATGCAATAACTGTTGTAGGGAAGGAGAAGATAGATAGCCAGCCAATAAAATTTATACAACAATGTCGTGGTAAGTATCATTCGCCCTGTATAAGATGAGTGATAAGTTTGCATTGTTCCATTCACTAATGAAGCTAGAGAGATCTTATGGATCCGGTGCCCATTGTAAAAATCCCATAGTTAAAGACAGGTGACACAAAGAAACACAGAGGAAGGCCAGGAGCCAGAGACGCAAGGCACATTCGAGGTGTGTGCTTCACAGACACAAGGCACAAAGGAGGAACAAAAAATAATACATTCCATATAAATAATGCAAACTTTTCAAACACTAACATAGTACAACCCACATTAAAGATAAATCCTGAAGTGCTAAAGATGATATGAAATTTTCATAATTTAAAGTTACATCCAACTCCCAAATTTCATAATAAATCAAACAAGTTTTACCAAACTCCAAAGTACCAAGTCAAACTTATAAACATATTCCATATAGCAATCTATAATGAATCACACATCAAAACCAAATCATCATCATCCCCTCATGGCTTCATCACAATGACAATCTCTTTCATCCTCAACAAGCTCATCCTTGTTATATTGTCCTTATAGTTTATTTCATACCTCATCATCATCAAACATGCATTTTCATTGTCATCAACAAGCAGTAATCATCTCATCTTGGAAGCTGCCTTTCCCCTTCTTCATTGGCGCCGCCTTTCCCCTTCTTCATTGGCGCCTTTCACAACTATGGAAAAATCTTCAACTTTTATGCATAGAGGGGGATTCCAAGATATTTGGGATGCATAGATCCTTCCCACAATAGTCTTATTTTCACCACAAACAGTCCTCTATCCCTGGTGTATAAAATGCCGATTTGGATTGGTTTGTCAGCAGCAATAAAGCTGGCTTTTCCAGATCTTTGGCTATTCTGTGTAATAGATTCCACTTTCTCTCTAACGAGGAACACAGAATCGTCTACAACAAGGTTATTACGTCGTTGCTTAGTCAACGATTAGTCGCCGACTAATCGTCCAGTCAGTGGAAGGCTTGCGACTGGCCTCTTCAGACGAGGTGCTGTCCGGTTATTGACTATGTGCAGACTAGTTGGATTACATGGATAGGTGTTGACTAGTTGAAATATTCGCATGTTCTCAAGTTTATCCATATAACCACAACGCCACATAAACATGCATATAGATTCATCTCCAAGTATTCCATTGGAAACCTGTTTGGTCTCAGATTCAAGCTTTACGATAGGGCTATAAAGAGCTTATCTAGTCTGGCAATCTACTATAGCAGTGATCCTCTAATAGGCAGGAGTTTATTGAACTCAGTCATTAGATATTCAAAATATTATTACATACACATCAATTTCTTCGTATTTAATATCACTAATGACCGTTTAGAAGCAAGAGATAAGAGCTTTCATCTGTATGTAATGATTGAGCTTGCTATCACTCCAAATAACAGGTCTTGAAGGGTTATATAGCAGGCAACCATTTTGATTCCTAGATTACATGTTTTGTCTTCACCACATACCTTTGATTCCTCAAGTTGAATTCTCCCTGTCTACAAACCGTTTGAATTGCATATAATTGTTATATTATGACTTTTGTATTGAGTTTTTTATTTTCTTATCTGCATTTGATGTTTCTCACTGGTTTTTTTACTATTCTTTAGCTAACTTTACAAAGATTATCTTTTTTGTTAGCCAAGTGCTTTACTTAAACAAATTTAACTTACCTTGAAAATGGATTATTTGAAGCCCGTTGTCAGTAACCATAACTGTAATCCCTCACAAATGTGACAAAATATCCAGCTACAGAAAACTGTAGGTTTCAATCAGATCAGGCGTTATTTGTATTGTCAAGTATTGTCAATATGCAACTATTTTTAATTGAATATGACAATTGCCAGTGGAGCTAAAAGAGTCATTATTGACATTGTTTTAGCTTCAGTTATATGGAGTAAATCAAAATGACACTTTAAACTTCCCTTGTTTATGAAGTTTTGGGTAGTAAATGCAGCAATGCGTCAAGGGTCTAGCGGGAAAAGTCTATGTTTTTTACGGGCATTAGTGCATCTCAACCTCCCAGAGCCCAACACTGTGGGATTATACTGGGCTATTGTTGTCATGAATATGACACTTCTCCTTTTATTGTATACCTAAGTACACGACTAGCACCAAACAGTTTCTACCTGCTCAATCTTTGTTTTTTAAACTTTTTGGTAGGAAAAGTTATATCAGTGGATCTTGAGGCAACAAGAAGGAGGATCAAGAGTGGTGATGATTGACATAGTCAACTACATCCAGGTACCTTTCTAACATGTACAACTTTGCACTGTTAGTCAAATTATTGGTTTTAACATTCTTTTAAACCTCATTCATGCATATAACTCGATCTGTGTGTGTGTGCGCGCACGCTTATAATAATGGGGGTGTTGTCATTTGTCATGGCTTAATTTTATCCATTCATTCATTAGTTTTACATATTGTTGAAGTGCTTGTGAACCTTTGTTTCTTATTGTGGAGGGGTACACTTCTTTTTATATATATTATATGATGACAGTCTGAACTGGACTACCATGGAGAAGACCAGGCACCACCCTCTCTTCAAAACCAAAACACTAACATTTATCCAACTTCTGTCATCCTGGGCTCAAATGGTGCACCGGCAGCAATGCAGAATATTGGATTGGACCATTTCGATCACCACCCAAAGAACCTTGATTTCTCAAATGCTCTGTCAAGCCCCATACGCCGAACCCTTCAAAACTATCACCTTTCTCAGGGAGGCTACCTTACAAGCAGTGCTCAGCCTGCAAATGCCACAAGGCAACAACAACAAGCTACTAGGGAGTCTGGTAGCTCCAACTCGAATGATGCCTCCTCCATGGATATGCACGCTGATAGTCCCGGCCATGAATCCACTTACTGAGAACTGCGCGAGATTCGCGATGCATGTAAGGTAAGAAGTTTGTCCATTTTACTTCGCCTCACTTCAGTGTCTTCAAAACAAGATGTATTTAAACGTTTTTTTTTTAAATTTATGTGTTCTTGAAATGGCAGCAAAAAATGAAATTGGTCAGTTCCAAATTTGAATGAATGAAGTTACTCTGCTAAGTGTTGAACAATGTAACCAGTTAATTTATTTTGTCCCTTTTTTTAATGCATGTAAAGTGTATTGTAAGTGATGGGTGGCACAGTCCCTTCATAACACAATTGGACATAGAATTAGCAAAATAAATGGGTCAATGCAAAAAGTTGAATAAATTAAATGAGTACTAGTCTAACTACATTACATTGTTGCATGCATGCATATCTAGCTAGCTAACTATTACTCAAATAATAAAAATGCCAAAATGTACTCAAATAAATTAAAGTAGTAGATCAGAGCTAGAGGATGGGAATGGGAATATGGGATTATGGGAATATAATAATAATTATTATTACTAATTAATTGGAAGGGACATGGTAGTATTTGCCCCTGCACATGCATCTGTAAACAACAGGGCAAGACTCTGCAACAGAGCATTTGAAGCTGACCATAACCCTCTTGCATGGGAAGCATGCTCCACATGCATGAGAACAATCTGGAAGGCTTGACCCTGTCCCTCTTATTGCCATTGCTGTTGGGTACGCCACTTCCCCTCTCCTTCCATTTCTCTCCTCCTCCTCCTGCATCCATCCATGTGCATATTTACACACTCTCACACATCATTATATATTTCAATTATTTGATCTATTATTACTCCATATATTAACTAATAATAAGCTAATAGATTTTAACTAGCTTCATCCACACACACACATGTCAGTGTCAAGGGGAGTATTATACTCCCTCCGTCCCACAAAACCTTTCTGGTTTTGATTTTTAAAGGAATTAAAGGGAGTGTATCTTTGTGTTGAGTTTCCAAAAATACCCTTGGATGTGATGGATAAATTAATAGTGGAAAAGGGTGATGTGATAAGATGATATGTAGGTTAAGAATGAGTAGGGGTAAACATGAATTTTTAATAGAAACGAGAAAGGTATTTTGTGATGGATGAAAAAAGAAAGAAGAAAGGTTTCGTGGGACGAGGAATTATCACTCTTCGCATTAATTATGAAGGGTGAGTTTTTTTTATTAAAAAATTGAATAACTAAATTCAAACAGAGAAAAAAAAATTTGGATTTATGAGGAAATATAGGAAGCAGGACATAGTAATGAAGAACCTATTAACTGAATTAAAAGGGCGTAACGAGCAACAAATCTAGCTAGGAAAATGTTAAAAAATTGTGGTTGTAATTTTGCAAATACAAAACGTAAAATGTAAATTTAATTTATGTACATGAAAATGTATGAATAATGCATGCATGGCTTGGATTGCTAGGGGACGATCGACAAACCTGTTGATTGTTATTGCCGTTGTGAAGTCCATTCCCTTCCTCATCATATGTAGTAACTGAAATATACATATGTAGATGTAACCATTAAGAAAATTAATTGGCTAGCTAGCTAGCTAGTTTGAATTATACTACGACTCTGTAGGAAAAAAATATTTAATTAAAATTAAGACATACTACATGTAATAAAATATAACCTTCAACATGTTATTTTTATTTATACCAAAGTAAGACTTATAATGTCAAGTATTGCTAATACATAATACTAATACATATTGTAAAATGCCCATATCCAATGCTAAATTATGACATCTCGTAGTATCAATACTTCTATTTATGGGATAAAAAATAAAATATATTATTTTGGTATAAGTTTCATATTTTAGTCTTATTTGTATCTCTAGATTTTTTAATATACTCCATCCGTTCTAATTTAAATTGTCTGTTTTGGTTTACGATGTTTGATTAAAATTATTTTCAAATCATTTTATATGAAAAATGGTGTAGAATTAAAAAATAAAAATTATACTTTTTAAAGTTATATCAAAGGATCTATAAAACTAGTGGTGACATGACTATATTATTTAATCAAATGACTAACGAAAATAAGGAAAGAAAGTGAATAAAGTTTGATCCCATGAATAGTAGAGACACAATTTAATTTGGGACGGAGGAAGTACTAGTTTTATCATATTACATACAATATCCTTAATAAATATTTACTTCGTACGTAGTACTTTCTATGTTGAGAATATTTGTTTAGTTTGACTTGTTCAAATCAAATTAGAGGAACGTACCTTAATCACGAATTACATTACATTTGCATTGCATTTTGTATTTAAATGATTATCAATGTTCGTTCAATTTGATTAAAAAATTAAACTAGACCACTCTAGATATCGTAATTATGTTTTTTTTACATACAATAATTTTCACATCTTTTAAAATAAGATTGGAAATAATGCGGGTGAGATTTATTCAAGTCGAAACCATAGGAAAATACAAAGAATAGGTTAAATTAGAGACGGATAGGAGGGAGTAATTTTTTTTTTATAAAACTTACAATGTGAAGGCCTCACACATTGGGTTGTAGTACCAAGCAGCGAAAAAACAAGTATTGTGACAACCGAAACACGCCACAAGCAAATTCTCGTCGTCGGAGGCATATTTACCAATACTACTATTGCTTTCCTCACCCTTTTCATTGTCATTTTTTATGCAAAAGACAAAAAAAGGGGGGAGACAAGTTTGTAAAACTATATATATATATATATATATATATGAAGATTTTGTGAGTTGTGATTGTCAAATGAGCTTTAAATTTAAGCTAAAACTAGAATGGCAATTTTTTTTTTAAGGTTTCATGAGATAATGAAGTCATAGGAAATGTGGACTTGTGATTTATATATATTGGAGAGTGAAAGAGAGAGAGAGAGAGAAAGATAGAGGAGAGGATTGGGATATTAATTAATTAATGAGACTTGTACCTATATGTGCAGGCACTCACATGATATATGAGACTTGGTTTTCAAAGCTGATATATATATATATATATATATATATATATATATATATATATATATATATATATATATATATATATATATATATATATATATATTCACAAGTTTTCTGAGTCGCCCAAAGTTATTAATTGTGAAACGAGAATGTTGGGCATGCACGAGAGAACATATTGCCAATTTATGCGTGTTACTCTTCCCGTCTCACGAAACCTTTCTGATTTTGACTTTAAAATACTTAAGGGGAGTGTCTTTCGGTATTGATTTTTCAAAAATATTCTTAGATCTAATGGATAAAAATAGGATGCGATAGGTAAATTTATAGTAAAAAAGAGTGTGATGTGATGGGTATATTAAGAATTAGTAAATGTAAAAATAATTTTTTAATAGAAATGAAGAATTTTTTTTTGGGGACTGATCGAAAAAGAAAAGAGAAATATTTGGGGAGGACTATTAATTTGACCATATAATTAATGCCATAATGGGTCAGGGACTTATATACGCTCCGCACATGACACGTGTATCTCCTATTGGTGTGCACTTCCCACCACCTCCTGATTTAATTATCCCATTAAGGCAATGCTTTACTTGTCTCATCACTTCAAACTAGACTCACCTTTTCTACTCACTAAAAATTTGTAAAACTTTCAAAACGGGTTCTGAGGATTCAAGGGCCATGATGAGAGCAAAAAGGGCATGTAGCCCTAATCAATTAAATCATACTCCTTCCGTTACACAACATATTTTCAATTTGAAAAAAAAAACAAGCTCTAAAATTGTATAATTTTAGCATTATTTTCCACTATCTAATTTTTTTATCTTACACATCATATCATACGATGAGCCTATTTTAAAATAAGGACAAAATTAGAAAACAATATCAAAATTATACATTTTTTAAACTTGTCTTTTTTCAAACAGAAAATATTGTGAGACGGAGGGTGTATAAATTAATTTTTCATTATTTTTTGAACAAATACACTAATTTTTTTTGAACGAAAATTAATAATAAGTCAAATTTAATTTTTTGAGGTTTTATATATTTTCTTTTAAAAATGTAGCTAATACTTCACCTTCTCAGTGTATTCGTCTAACTTGTCTTTTACGAGTCAAACTGGACGAACTTTGATCATTAATAACTTTTAATTATATTGCATATAATGCAATAAATTAAAATTTTAAAAATTTTGAATAAGATAAATCTAATGAAATAAATTTTATACTAAAATACATTAACTCATGGGGAAAGAGTTATTGAATTGAGTCATAAGACAATTGGGTTAAAGCACATTAAAAAATTAATTCAATCAATTACTTAGTTCAACTCAATGACTTGTATACCGATTACTTTTTTTTTCAATTTTCGATGTGAGATACTTTAACATGATCCCAGCTCAGAAAGATGAATTCCCATGCTCTGACTGGAAGGGGTATTGTAAGTAGGGATGTAAATGAATCGAATATTTTTTGTTCGATTCGTGATTCGTATTCGTTTAAGATGATTCGTATTCGATTTTTTCAAATCCGAATACGAATACGAATCTGAATAAATATTCGAATCCTTATCGAATACGAATATGAATCAAGGGTATTCGATTCGTGAGAATACGAATACGAATACAAATACGAATACGAATACAAATCTGAATAAATATTCGAATCTGAATAAATATTCGAATCCTTTAGAAAGAGGAGAGAAAGATTTGTGTCTGTGGTATATGTTTAATTTTTAATACTCCCTCTGTCCCACTGTCTTTGTCCACTTTTGACTTTTGGAATTGTTCATCTAAGCACTTTGACTCATCAAATTCTCTCAATGTGTAAGCCTAAATATAGTATGTGTGATCTTGTTTAATTTGTCTTAACATATAGATTATTAATATATAATTTCTATAATTTTTTAATATACAAATTACAAGATAAAATGGATTAAAGAAGTGCATTGGATGGTGTGCCAAAAGGTAAGTGGACAAAGATAGTGGGACGGAGGGAGTAATAGAATAAATTTAGGGAGGAAATGATTTGTTTTTTTAAAATATTAATGACATTATAGTCGTTGGGTATGGTGCGAAGGAACACACCAATCAAACCATCCCACTGAGTGTCACCTCAGCTTTCATCACAGCCAATCACACCACCATCACACCGTAGGGGTGTGGATCTCGCCCAATTTTTTTAAACAATTAACTTAAAATAAATCACATCAAATTCACTAATTAATGAGAGGCTATGACCTCAAGCATCAGTGTGGGGTGCCAATGATCACCACTCGTATATTGACCACGCCATGCATTTGGGACAATTGCACCATGCCCAGTGCATACAATGAATACTACCTAACATGCTGGGAAAACCATGTCGGGCTTCATGGGCAGCGTATAAGGCTTGCAGTTTGCTGTATAATGTATAATCTGGATAACCCATTTGCAATACTTGTACAGGCATTCCCACACCGTTTGATCAGACATGTGCAGATACTCATTGAGTGAATCTATAGTATTGTCGTATGCCAATTGTCGTGCACTTTTGCAACATTGAGAAGCCAACTTTTTGTCGGGCATCATGTTGCAACATAAAAAAAGCAGTTGCATCCACCAAATACTCACAATCCTGAGGAAAAGACGACAACTCATGCGAAATCTCCGCCTGAACTGTTTGTCGGTGTAGGTTGCATATTCGTAAAAATAATCCTCAACTAATTGATTGTGCCCATGTACGTATTAGTTTCATAATATTTAATATAAATTATTTGTAAAGTAATATTTCAATTAAATATGAAAAATATAGAAGCATACCGATTCTATCTCTATTTAGAGCTCTTCTTCTACTCTATGGTTTGTCGTTTTCTTGTTGTTGCGTAAGAATCTGGATTGCCCGGGCCATGGTATTCATGAAAAGAGCTTCTTCTTCATCAAAATTGGAGGACGTCCACATTGTGAAAAAAAGTATGAAAATTTGGAAAAGTAGAGAGTAGTAGAAAAGAAGAAGATGTAAATTCGAAGTGAAGATGGTGATTTAATAAATGAGAGAAAAATGGAAGAAACAAAAAAATCAAACTAGCCGTTGAACGGCTAGAAATGGGGAGAGGGAGAGCGGTGGTGACTGTGATGGCCATCACCCCCATCAAGGTCACCCTGTAGGGGGGCGCTACCTGGCCATCACGGCACCACCATGGTGTCCATACCGTGTGGTCTTAGTATATAATATGGATGAATTGAACTTTTTGAGAAAAATAAAAGATCTCCATGTCAGCCGATAAAAAGTGTGAAAATATCAACATTTCACATGTGAACTTTAATATCATGAAAACATAAATCTTCATAAATTCCCATAGAGTAGAAAATACTCTTGAGTTTGTAGCATCATAGTATTAAAAAATGCATAATACAATTCACATTTAAAGCATCATGATCTCAGCCAAAAACACCATCGTTCATGATAGTATTTTTTCCTCTTGCATGGCGTTAAAAATTTAGGTTAATTGGTTTTAAACACACCAAATCTTAAGTCACAACCAATTGACAATATGTTAGCTTAACTCACAAGCTTGAATTTTATCCATGTGAGGCACACTTCTTTACGTTTCTATGGAGTAATAGATTAAAGACACATAGTCCACATTTCTACTCATCTAAATAGATTACAATTACTCTTTTTTTGTAACATTTTTCTTAAATGATGTGAAATCAAATTGTCCAAATTAAACCAAGGAAGTATATAAGAAAGCACAATCTCATTTGTACAACCATACCAGTTAAAGTAGAGTTGCATAACAATTGTTCACATCAATTTTGTGCCTGATAGCAACATAAGTTTGTGATATGAATAAATCGAGATATGGAACTATAGAAGACTTCAAGAGTCTCCAATCTCCCAAAACACGAGAGAGAGAGAGAGAGAGAGAGAGAGAGAGAGAGAGAGAGAGAGAGAATTGGAGAGAAGAGAGGGAAAGGTTGAGCAGTAGGAAAGGGAAGAAAATTTGGGCTTAAGTAGATTGATTTTATTGATAATCCTCTTAGAACAATGTTTATTAATCCCTATTTCTAAATTATCTAAGGACCCTATCGGTTCGACTCTCTTTTTCCGATCTGGGAAAGAACCGTAGAAAACCCAGAAAGGGGCTTATAATTCCGCCCGACCCCTAAACTAAAAATACAATATCAAAAACCAAAAATGTAACAAATTACACAGTATGATCGTCCTCCCATGGTCGTCGTCGGTTGCCATGTACTTTTTTCTGTCCTCAGTTCATATCCTCTGCATCCACTTTGTCATCTCCTCAGCATCATCATGCATAACAGTTTCGTGCATCGGTTTTGTTCAAGGGAGTTGATAACCCTTCACCTTTGATCATGGCTCCATAGCTGCTTGTTGAAGTCAAAACCACTGCTTATATCATTTAGTCACAATGATATGAACAAACATATTGTTGTTTACCTGCCTGATCCTATCTTTCACGTAAAATCAAGAAACAAAGGTGCATCTTGGTGGACGTTGTCGAGTTCACCAATTGGCCTTAGACCACCTTCAAGATCATTCATCTCCAAAAAATCTTCAAGAAAATCTTCTTCCACAGCTTGAGGTTTCAACCCTTCATGACTAACAGAAGATGTCACCTCAGGTAAGACAGCGCCGGTGCTGTAGGGCAAACCAACCTCCCATGAAGAATCCTCTGGTAGAGTATTATTATTATCCTTAACACCAAGTTGGTCCACAAAACTGCAATTAAGTGGAGGCTCGTCTGCTAAAAGTTGAAGGATTTCATCAAGATCGTCTTTAGAAGGCAGCAACAAGTCATCAGGGGTTGGATGGTCAATAAGCAAAACATCATCATCATCATCAGCCCAGTCCTCTTCTTTAAATGGTGCGCCATATTCCTCGCTGTTCTTTGGTCCGGGCCCACTCTTCATAAACACCTTGTACAGTGCATAGCAATCCTGTTTGGAGTAGCATCTTTTCAACTCGGCTTCGTGTAGAGTATACTCATGCATCACCCAATCAGTTCGTTCGCCTCTTGGCGCACGGCCCCTATAAAAGACCAGAGTTTTTTTGATCCCTACATCATGAGAATTACATGTGATGATACGGTCCTTCCCTGTTGCCTTCCAATAGCCATGCTTGTTGGCTCTGTTCGTCCTCGAACCATTTGGGTACTTTCTATCTCTGGGGCTGAAGAAGAACCATTGTCTGTCACCAGTTTGCAACTTAGAAAGCCCTGCGTTTTTATAAATTTCCAAAACCAGTCAATCTACTTGCCAAGATGAAATCCATAATAACGACTAACGAGACTTTCAAGTTGAAAGATACCTTATTAAAAAAGTTCTATTCTGGAATACGACCAAGTGAAAAACACCAATTAACAACCAATAATGATAATAAGAGTAAAGATCCTTATAAAAAAAGTTAATACTTTGGCTCTCATGTTCAAGAAATAGATAACTATGCTAAAATTGAAAATGTAAATCTTTTCCATTACATGCTTACTTTTCACTAGGGACACTACACTGTCATTGTTCATCCGGTCCTCTCGGACTCCTTAGGGGTAGTGGTAATGCGTGAGAACATCTTATCCAAACACTACTCTTAGGTGGGATTTATTAGTTTTTTTTGTTTGGTTGGGTCAATAATCTCTTCCCATTAAAGTAATATTGATGGGATCAATTACTCATATCTACACATGTGTTTGTTGCTTCTGACACTAACAATTTTACACCATCATAAATAGAACAAATATTTGATCAACCAGAAAAGGGAAGAACACACCAAGAAAATATCATAGGACAACACAATCAGACACACAACAAGAATCACATCGCCCACAAATAAAAGATCAAGATTCATTCATTCTTATTACAAAAAGAACAGAACCAATTCAGATTGCCCACAAAACCAATTGCACTCCGGTCTAATTCAACTCGAAAGATATCCAGTAAAAAAGGGAACCGAAATTCAAAATTAAAACATTCAAGAAACAACAAAAAAGCGTCAATGATCAAAGATAGACGAAAGAGTACCGGGCAATTCCACCGGATCGCACTTGTAAACGTCAGTCTCTGAGATTAAATCCAGAAGATGCCGGCGGCCGCAGATCTTCCGCTTCAGGTAGTACAGGACCAGCTCCTCGTCGGTCGGGTGGAACCTAAACCCGGGAGACAACCTCCGATCGCTAATGATAGCCATGTTTGAGGGAAAAACGGACGGCGGGGGTTTGAATTGTGAAGTGTGCTCGATCGTCGAAAGAAGGAAGATTCAAAGGGAATTCTCCCGCAATAGTGAACTCAAGCGGACGGCGGGTTTTCGGGGGGCTTCGGGGAAAATTAGCTCTACTCTCTATTTTATAGTACTCCTTACTACCTTAGATATCTAGTAAATTTAAAATTTAGGGTCCATTTGGTTATGGAAAATATTTGCCAAAAAAAAATTATTTCTGAGGAAAACTAGCCTATTTGTTACTATTATTTGGTAGAAGAAATGTTTTTCCCAAAATTTTTTTTCTGTTAATATTTTAAAATTGGTATTTAAATAAATATTTAGAAATAATTTTAAAATATTTTAGCAGCATAGGAGGACGAGCGCGTAGGGAAGCGGAGTGATAGGGAGAGTAAGCAAGGACGTGCAGGGTGTGAAGTCGGGTAGGAGTGGGGGGCATAGGGCTATTAGAAATATTAGAATGAATTCACAGCATAATATTCATCTTATTCAATTCATCATCAAATGATGAGTATAAATATTACAAAGTGAATAATCTAGACAATCAAGGAAGGTAAGTGGAAGATAATAAAATATCTTTGATTGGTAATTTGATTCCAATCAAGGATATTATCTTAGTCATCAATATTATTCCTTTGTTTGACACTATTCCTTTGTTTGACATTTCTAACACTCCCCCTCAAGTTGAATCATCTGTTTCGGATGTTTAACTTGCTTAATGTTGCTTGAAAGAATCCAGCTGATACTGCTTTTGTGAGAATGTCTGCCAATTGATCTTCAGATCGGACATATGGAAGACTGATGATAT